GCTTTGTTCCAATGGCTCAGTGAGTCTATGGCCTAACTTTAACCTGGCTGAGACTTTTTATTTTAAATTGTTGTACCGACGTCATAGAGCAGACCTGGTAACACTCCAGTACATGTAGAACAGTGCATGGACGAGAACTGTGTAGAGCAAACTACTGTTCATTATCAGTACAGAGATGGATAACTTCACAATTATCTCCTTTAAGATTGTTAATTGGTTAATTCAAGGCCTTGGCCTATATCCAGTTTTCTATTGGCACCTGTGTTGCTTAATACATAAAACCAGGCAATCGATAAACGTGTTCTGTGGCTACAAATGTCAATACATTCACACAAGAGATGGACAAATGGCTAATAATACATTAGCATGAACTTTATAACTTAAAAAATAATAAATAGACACTGTGGTAATGCATAGGTTTGTGCAGAGGATGTCTATAAATATTCAGCAGTTGTCAGTACATTACCAGCTACACTGTATTGTTTCATGTGTGTACTGTAGGCGGCAGAGGCTAAAGCCACTCACACGACGGCTCCTTTTTGATCCTGTGGAAAGTCTCTAGAGCAACAGCTCATGGTATATCAGCGAAGTAAGTCTAAACACATTGTTAGCCTCAGGACTTAGGGGAACCAGGGGCCACCACTGTCACTAAACTTCAATAGTCTGTGCAAATAAACACGTTTAACTAATACAATTAAAGTTAGCCCAGTATGTAATTTCATCACATACAAAGCATACATTGGACTTTATAACAACCTGACATTTGTTTATTTGCTCTAAGTATCACATTGTTTCAGGAATCCAAGGAAACAAGGCAATCTTGATTGAAAATTTCTTTCTGCATTCTGACCAGGGGAATCAAATGATTTTTCTGGAATGCCAAAAGCCAAATGACCTGAAGTTATGTACCTTAAATCATGCATAGTACATAAAAAGCCACAATACAGTAACAAACTGTGCATCAGAAACAAATTTCACCTTGAATCAGTATAGTTGGAGTCTGCCTAAGAGGGCCCCTACACTGTCAATGATCTCTGAACAAGACCTGTGTTGTTAACACCATTTAGTCTTAACTGTGAATGTCTGCTTTGCTCCTTGTTGGCTCCTAAATACAGACAATGCCTTCTTCAAGCTTGGACCCTCTACTGCTGTTGTAGAGTTCAAATACCACTGGAAACACCTCACACTGACATGGGACATGCTCATATTATTTTGTACATAAGATACTCTTGGCATGTGGTGCCTTCCTTCACCAGTAAACCAATACTCTGCCCCTGCAGCCAGGTCTTGGCCTTCTTTGAATTCTAAACATTTGTTTGTTCCCAGTTTCACACTACCTCATCAGACTCCAGGTTGTATTCCTCATACAGGGTATCTAGGATGGCCAGCTGTTTCTCCATGGCTGGCAGATACATTCCCAGGTCCCTGTGCATGCTGCTAGTGAAGCCTCTTTTTAGCTCGTCGCCCTCTCCTGACGCTAAGGCAGCGATGAAGCTTTGATAAGATGGGGCTGCTCTCAGGGCCAACTGAGGAAATCAAAGTTAAATGACCAAAAAAAAAAAAAAAAGCTATAGTCACATTTCAAGTTGGGACATCAGTAACATGTGATAAAAGAATGGTGCAAGTGGGAAATACCTACAGCGAATACTCCTCGCACAACCCATCCGTGGTACTGTCGAAGGGTCTTTCCATAGGCGTTATCTAGGGGAAAGAAGAGATCAGTGGAAACTCAACAGTGAATATGGATTGCGTTTCCTATATTTGTGTATATCCAGCATTGCTCACTTAGCGCTCCCTGGACGTCTCGTTCTCCTGCGTTGACCTCTGACAGAAACTCCTTGAGGAACTTCAGGCCTCGTCTAAGCCACAGCAGAGCCTCAGTAGCAGAGTTGCGCACCTGGGTGACATCCGTCTGGACTTCATGCAGCACGATGGACTGCAGTGTGGGGTACCTGTCAGGCTCTGACATCAGCTTCTGGTGGATCTTCTGCAAGGACCAAGGGACAGTGACGTGAGACAGATCCTGACTCTACTCAGCTGTCATTTGCACTGACTTACTTGAACAACAAAAAAAAAATGCAATAAACATCTACAAAACATTACAATGTATTATTTATGCAATGCATATTGACAGAGCAGGAATAATAGGATTAATAAGTGGGGGAGTGGGGGGGGGGACAAGAAAAGGCAAAACAGTAAGATGACCTATTGTACAGTAGATCATAACTTAAAAACATTTAAAGCATCTTCTACAAAATGTCTTCATAATTATTTTGTTACCTATCCTATCAAACGTGTGCACTTACCTTGATATTTCCAACAAAATCCATTTTAACTGGTGCAAACACTGTGGACCCCAGTTTGTCTACAAAGAGAGAATCTATGATCATTTATTTGTTGCTTTTTAAGATTCTCCATTTAGAGCTTTGAATGGACTGCAGGATGTCGTGACTGTTAATAAAAGATTAACTAACCCCTACAGCAAATTTAAAGTAACCACAATGGGAAAATAATGAAGGCTCGTGACACGCTAAAAGACCCGAAGTCCTTTTTTCTGCAAGCGAAGTTAAATGGCAGAGGGAAGGGATTTCCAGGATATGTTTTGTCTCACAGCCAAAGAGCTCACACGACTGTACATGTAAGCAGTGTGTCACAGATATCACCTATACCTATATGTGGATCTGTGCCAAGATATGATAAATCAAATCAACATTCAAACATTTAACAGGCCTAATCAGTTAAAAAGTCATGTCAGCTTGGATATAACATTACATGAATTTTAGGGATTCCTGCAGTGTCTGTTTTTTTAAAGGACAGTTTGTTATGACAATGCCAGTCTTTTGAGAAAACACTGGCATCTCACCTCCAAGTATGTTAGTTAATCCAAAACTGATCATTAAACACTGTGGCTATGGTTAATTTGCAAATATCTCATGCTAGATGGTTCCTCATGACCTCATCCGTCTCCTCCTAAATCTTGGACCAAATCTGATAAAGAAAAAAAAAAAGTCTGCCAAAACTGCCACACAAAAAATGCAAGTCCTTTTCAAGTCCTGCACATATTTTGGCTGTGCAGTATCTGTGACCGACCACCTTTATTTATGTGTAGTACACACAGACAGACATTTGGTCACAAGCAGTGTTGTAGTCAAGTCACTAAACCTCAAGTCAAGTCCCCATGACCAGAGTCTGAGTCATCAAGGTTAAGCACAATTAACACACCATTTTAAAAGGAGTTCACTCACCATGTATGACAAAACAGCCAAACAAACACACTCTTAAGCGCACACACACATGCTACTTAAAAGTTAACAGTGTCTATGTCTTATGCCAAATTATTATTCCAACATTAGCGTCTAAATGCAGTCGATGCTCAAGTCCAAGTCGAGTCATGAAAATCAGGACTCGAATCCTACAACACTGGCCACAAGAACCTGTATCAGTTAATCACAATGTTGCTGGGATAAAAAGCATAAATAAAGGCCAGCAAAAGACAAAGATGCAGAAGGAAATTAGAGCATTTATAGAAAAGCTTGGTGAATCCAAGACAGAATAAGGGCCCCTGGCTAATTATGTGAACGGCAGAGCATGCACAAATGACAGAAAAGTTGCCGAGAAAGTAGTCCTAGTTTATCTCATTAAAGTTTGGGGTGAAATGACCACAGATGTAAATAAGCAACATAAGAAACAGAAACAAAGGGGTAGATTGAAATGAGGAGAGACTGACAGTGACTGGCCTACCTAATACAGGCACTATTGCATAGCATGAGTCCAAAAACTCTTGTGTTGGGATACCATTGTCGTCGTCCAGTCTTATATCACTAAATCTAAAAAAGTAGAACAGATTCAAACAGGAGAATATATTAGAGGTATTCATGTCATTTCAATGTTTATTTGATCAAACCAAACAGAAAAAAGGGTACAAACATCAAAGCCAATCCAGAGAAATCATTCACACCATGTCATGCAATTATATGCCTGACAATACCTGAGACTATACTGCTATTTCATCTACAACATAATAGTGTGTTGCCCAACTCTAAAACTGTTCCATTAATTTAAATATGCATACTACAGTCCCTCATCTTGCAGTTGTACACTGGATGGGATGGTGACTTCCTTCATTATAATAATGTTATCTTCAAAACCTTTTACAGAAATTAGTCACACTAGTCAACACTCTCCAGGATCTTAAAAT